ATATATAATTGCTATTGTGATTGATTGTGAGGATATGTGTGTGTGTGTGTGTGTATAACCTCACAATCAATCACAATAGCAATGTAATCATTTTTGTCTAATTTATTATTTGTTGGGAGGAAAAGCCATACTACTTTACAGTTTACAGAAAGCAACACTCAAATAATAGACACCAGTATTAAGACTGCTGTTAAGAAGGTATTTCAAAAATTATTTAGGAATTGAAGAAAGAAGAATAGCTTTTGTTACTGAATTGTTATTAACAAAATATGGAAGTAATATTTCTTCAAGGTGATTTTGGTACGTTTTAAGCCATGTCTTTCTTTGTGGGTGATAGTTTCTAAAATTTCCAAATTAACCAAACATTACCTAAAATTCTGGGGTTAACCAAAACAAGCATATCCACTCAACATGATCAAAATAAAACATTTCAGTACTTTTTAATGTGACCCATGGCATACCAATAATCTAGAACCATTTTGATTGTTGGTATAGGTGGTACAACAATACTATTTTTTCCTGTTGATCCTAGAACATTAATCACCTTTAATCAGTGTTTTTGTAACTGCTATATCCCAGACCTCTGTGACCTAAATTCAATTATTTCAGTGTTCACCTTCCCAGTTTTTAGCAGTTGTTTGTCTCACAGCTGTCAACAGGAATAGTAGTAGTTCTTTACATAATATGTTTTCATTCTCACCTCATTTAACACTAATTTAGGACAGAGGATAAATTTTTGTTCTGTAATCATGATGTATTCCTTAAAGACATAGTACCACAGCCATCCATTGGCTTTAGGTTCTCACCAGAAATGATAGAATCCCTCAAACTCATGGGATTGATTTCTTTGTAAATATAGTTTATAGTCATGGCATTAGCTATTAGAATTCTCTCTCATTTTAAATAAGGCTATCATTTTTTAAATTTTAAATTTCCAAATAGCATCCCATTCTCCTTCTTCTTCTAAATCTTTTTCTATGGCTATTCAGCATTCCTCATGATTCAATCACTAAGAACAGTGTTTGCATGATGGTTAAAGTGTTGGAAAGGACTGGGGTGATCCATGTTCAGATCCACCCCCAGCCACAGAATTTCACTGGGTGACTTTGCCTTGAGCTCCTGGAGGAAAGGCAAGATACTAATCTAGCTAACAAATAGTATACTGTACTATACTAATAAGTAAATATTGAACATATATATACACATATTTGAGGCCGTGTATTTTTGCCGTCCTCGTAAGTCGTCAAGCTTGTAAGAGTTCTAATTGTTTCAGTGTTCACTGAAGTTAAAAAAAAAAAGTGATATCTTTCGGAAGATTTCAAAATTCTCTAACCTGTCTTTTCCCTGAAAGGGTTACTATTTCCAGCAGAAGATCTACTCACTTGGTAGCCAAAGAAGCAGCCGCCATTGCTCGGTTTCGTGGAACTGCAGCATCTCTTGATGAACCTTGCAGAGAAGATCTTGTGCGGTAACCACAGAATTTCACTTTTGAGGAAGCCTCATTGTACATTTATATCACTTGTGTGGCTTGCTCCCACATGATGGGATTCTTCCTTTTTGTTATCTTAATCATGGGACAAGTGGGGAGATTTCTGTTAGGGGCATAATGCCTAAGGAAGGAAGTCTTAACCCTCCCCTCTCCAGATGATTAGAGCTCTTATAATTTTCCCCCCCTTTTCCTATATCTACTGACAGGAATAAGAATTCCCTTTGTGCATACTCCACAGTCACATTTTTCTTCTATTTTGTACTTCATATTCTGAAATGTTCTAGGATTAACATTAACAAAGGATACAACAATCCTTTGCTGTAACTCCTGCAGAGGGATAAAAGTTTGTAGAAGCCTTGAAAGAGTTTCCTAATCTAGCTGGGATAGAGTTTTGATTGCATTTTGAAATACAATAATCTTTACTCACAGTTTGCACAATGACATGTTATAAAAGATGCTACAATTTTGCTTCTTCAAGCAAAAATGCAAGGAAATGTTTTCCTTGACAGACTGGATGTATTTACTGTACGGCCAATAACCTGAGGACCCTGAAAAAATGAGTGTTTATGCTTCCCTGTTAAAGAGTGAACAGTATTTTTAAGACATGAATTTGAAAGCTGAACTAAATTACTTGTGAACATATGTAATAATACTTGAGTTTCTGACTACTGGCTTTATTTTTTATTTTGGTGACTTCAGTTTCAGAATTTACAGTTGGCCTGGCTTTAATTAACTGACGCTGAAGCACTTTACATATTCCACATGGGTTATTTTAGCAGGAGGGTCACCAGTTTATAAGCCAATGTGCTTTCAAATGGCTTCTAGCATTACCAATCAAAAAACATTGCCTCCTGAATGGATTTTTTTATGGTAAGAAAAATAATGGAAGAAACAGTGGGAAAATACCGGATGGTTAAAAATAGAAGATATTGTCATCTGAATTCTTGGTAAAATTCTGTGAGTTAGGCAGGACAATTGTCTAATACAGGACACACCTGAAAGCACATAGGTGAGCTCCTATTCCATAAAAAAACTACAGAGTATTAAAATGTCCTGTAATTTTAAAATGGAAGAAAATTAACTAGGTGAACAGATAACATACTTAAACAAGACATGAAGTTGCTCCTAGTTTTCATCTTTGGGTTCTCTATCCACTTTATGGCTGACCTGTCAGCAAAAGTTCAAATTGATAATATGAATTTATTTTTGCTCTTCAAGTGAAGAAGCAGTATACAACTTGAAGCCCAAGATCATATGGTAGTCCTTCAGGTTTGAAGAAGACACACTGTTGTGCAGTTCTTCTGCGGACATGGAGGTGGCTCTGCAGTCCCAGTCTGGAAGCGCAGAGTCTAGCACAATGGGGGCATAGGAAGTCCATTGTTGTAGTAACTGTGCGTGTTATTCTGTGACGCCGCTCACAGTTTTCTATCAGTTTTTGGCAGCGCTTATCTTCAAAGCCGGTGAAGTCTTCATAGCACAGGGCTCACCAGCGGGTTCTGTCAGCAGCTGCAGCTTCTAGTTCCCTTGGCTGGATGTCACAGAGGCGTAGGGTTTCTTTCACAGCGTCTTTGTAGCACTTGTGTGGTCGACCTCAAGGCCTCTTCCCAGACTCCAGTATGCTATAGAGCAACTGGTGAGGCATACGGTGGTCATCCATTCTGATGATGTGCCCCACCCACCACATCCGGGCTCTGATAATCAGGGACTCAATGCTGGTAAACTCCACGCAATCCAAGACCTCCAGGTTGGAGACATGGTCTTGCCAGTAGATAACCCTGTTTTACCCCATTGGAAATGACAAATGCAGATGATGTATCACCCTTGTAAAGAATATAATATACAGTATATGAATATATGTATGTATGTATGTATGTATGTATGTATGTATGTATGTATATTCATTCATTCATTCATTCATTCATTCATTCATTCATATGCAGCTTCCAAAAGCCTTGGGTCCAGCTTCGTATATAATTGCTAATAAATTCTGAAGATAACTTTCAATGGGACAGAAAATGAAATTAGTAAAACATGATTAGAAATATTTATACTATTGAATATTAATTAAAAGTAAATATACATGAAATGAAGTAGTTTTAGTTTTGCCTCAGCCAGTATGTTTTAGAGTACAGTCCCCAGAATGTCATCAGGTACAAATACCAGGCACAGATCTTCGGCCAAGAAAAAATGCACATTCCTAGTTTATATCCTCATAAACATCTGTGGACATAATATATTACAACTGCCAGAGAAGCACAATGAAGCTAAAAGAAGGTGAAGGAAGCTGCTAACAATGACCCTTCACTATTTCTCACTTCCATAAGATTTGAAGTAGTTTCAACCAAGAACAGTGTTCAATTTCCAACAGTGCTTCTTCTTTAAGCTGTTTCTCCTCCTCCTTCTTTAAGTTGGTCACCAGTAAAAATGATGTTGAAGCTATCAGTCTATACTGAAAAAGTATAATGATCCCTTATCAAATCAATATCTCCAACAATTATAGGCTTCCTGGTGCCTGCCTGCCTGCCTGCTTGCCTATTTATAATCTTCCTTATATATATAAAACCATGATAAAAAGATAACTAAAACGTTGGCCAATGATCCTCAGCTAAATTCCAAATCTCCCTTTAGAAAGTAAGGTATTCAATGTCTTCCTGAATGCTAGAGAGAAGGGGCCAAAAGGGCAGTCATGGAGACGGCCTGTTTTCTGGTCCAAAGCCCTTTCACAGAGGTGAGACCCTAAACAGACTTTCTCCTAGTGTCTGCACAGGATGGGCAGAATCATACTAGGTGAGGAAGTCCCTGATGTAATCTGGCCCCACATCATATGTACGTAGCTTTATAGCCGATAACCACTACTTTGAATTAGGCCTGGAGGTCTACTAGTAACCAGTGCACCCACAAAATAGGGTTACTCTGCAATAGCAGGTTTATCCTCTAGTAACCTACCTGCTACTTTCTATGCCAATTCTAGCTTCCAAATTGTCTTCAAAGGCAGGCGTGCATAGACCATGTTGCAATAGTCCAACCATGTGGTAGTAAAGGAATGAGTTACTGTTGCCAGGGCTTAGACTGCAACTGGTGCACCAGCCAAAGCTAGGCAGGAGCTGTGAGTGCAGGAGGAACACCAAGACTTAGGTATGCTATTTGGGGGAGTGTAACCCTACCTAGAGCAACGGTATCTGATATCCTGAAAAGCCTAGATATTTATGAGCAAACGACATTTCCATCGTGCTGGATTACTGAACCCAAACTGATAGATTATCTCTCCCAAAGGTTTCATATAGATGATAAATAATATGGGAAACAGAAGTGACCCCTGCAGTATTCTACACTGGCGCAATCATGGGTTTGATCACTCCTTTTTTATGACTGACAACTGGAAACATCCACTGAGATAGAGCAGAACCATTGCAGAACTGTGCCTCCAACACCCAAAAGGATACCATAGTTGGTGGGTGCTGAGAGGTTTCTTTGGACCAGGAGGGGGGTATGCACCTGTTCAGATTCTGATGGTCATCTGCTTTTGTGACCAGAGTGACCATTGCTTTTCTGCTGCATGTCTGGGTCTGAGACCTTAATCAAAGGGATCCAATAATCTAGGATTCTTGTGTGGAGGGCCACAGAAATCACCTTAGAGAAACTATACAGCAGCAGTTTGTAAAACATGTTTTAAGCCTAGGAGATAAAGAAAGCATTAAAAAAAAAACTTCAAATTTACTCTGCCTGAACTACCCAGGAACTTCTTCAGAATAACTACATGCTCTATCAATGTTATTTATTTCTCTCACTCTTAACATTTCCCTCAGCAATGCGGTGGCCGCAGACATCAACAATGCCAGCTATTTACGGGTGGCTGCTGCCTCTCAGCCATTCACTGCAACAACCCAGCTTAAGCAGATCCCTTCACCAGATCAACAACCTACCTTCTGGAATTATGATCTGCAGACAAAAGATAATACTCCACTGTTGGGACAAGAGTCTCCTACTACACCTTCCACTCTGTCTCCTGGGTCTCCAAGAGTTGCTGCTCACTCTGCAACTAACCGAAAGGATCAACTGTAAGTTTTTTTGCACCACTTTGAGATGGTCCAGATTTCCCATATTTTGCCTGTCCTTTAGCAGAGCATTCAGTTATTTCTAAATTTTAGGCAACAGAAGTTACTATAGTCATGCTATTGTATGAAGTCCAGCATTTCTATTCTTCTTCTTCTTAATATTTTATTTTCATATGCATTCACCATCATTTCGAGTCTTTCCTTGGACAGCCCAAGACACTGTGCTGCCAAAGATGGAATATCAAATGATGGCAAATCCATTCAGCTCAAGGTGCATAAAACCTAAGGCAAATCAAATTATTCTGGAACCTAGAGTTGATAATCCCAAGTGCCTCTCTTCCCTTTCCAACAATATAAAACAGTAATTAATAGAATAATTAATTAATTAGTGTACCTTTTCAGAACATTCCCAAACTTTGTCTAATAGTCACCTGGCCTTCTTTTTTCTCTTAATTCAATAACTTTTGCAGATACAGTGAGGTGAGGAAAAGCACAGTAGAACCATTGCTGCAAGATGAAGCATATTCAAAACCAGAGATGATTGATAATCCACTATATGACTTCACAAAATCCAAGGACAAACCTCTATTTAAGAGAGAACAGGAATTGTTCAAGGTTTCACGGAAAGAACTCCCAACCATTCCTGATCAGAACTTCCCTTTCACCAAGCTACAAGAGACCGATGGCAGCAAACCTTGCAAACAACAATCCTCCCCACCTTTCCTTGTTCCCACACACAGATTTCGTTCTTATACCTGTTCCAATCAATCTGAGGAAAATAGTGCACTGAAAGAAAAGATGCAGAACAAGCAGAAACCTTGTTCCAGTTCAGATCCTTCTATGTCAACATTCAAGAATCCCATCAAATTAACAAGGTCTGAAGTAGGCCAAAATAAACCACCTCTTCCATCTAAAAGCCAGGTGGTGCTTGATCTGCAGAACATCAAAGGCCGTGATTATAGAGAAAGCTCAGAACTTCCACCTCAAAAGAAACACCAAAATGAGGATGGGACTGTTGGCAGGGCAGCTGTGCCGGTAGGTTTAATATAGGAACATAGACAGCAGCATGTACTGTCTTACATAGGAAATAGTTCTTCAGAATTTCAGACATGGGCTTTTTTCTAAGCCCAACTTGGAAATGCAAACAATTGAATGTGGAAGCTTTTGCATGCAAAGTATGTGTGTGGTCACTGAGCAACAGTGTCTATGTCCGTTTTGTTATATATTTATAATTATATATTGTTTTATATGAAATGGAAGGCAGATTAAGGCACCCATAGATGATACTATAGCTTTCTCTGGAACCAGTCTACTCCTCCAATAATAATTTGTTTGAATCCAATCAAGGAAAAAGTTGGCATAAATTTTTGAGGAGAGAGAGAAAAAATTACCATGGGGTATTTTTGTACATCTGTGTTTCTTTTTGTAAAGTGAGCAAATGACACTCAGTTTTCTGCTGGTGGGTATCTGACTCAATTCATTAAATCTTGTAAACTAATCTGCTAAACCAGGTGATCATAACACTCCATAATCTTCAAATATCTCTGGGACTAATGGAGATGCTAGTGCCTTTTGCACTGTAGACAGGGAGTGCATTTTAATTGCACACTTAAACAGAAGTACGGACAACTATGTAGTCTTTGTTAACTGCATAACATTTGAAAGTCTTTGTGTCTTTTATTTATTTATTTATTTATTTTACAAGGTTTATGGGCTATACGTCACAAGTGGCCTGTGATTCCTACTCTTCTTCATGCAGAGTAAAGCAAAACAAAATGCAGTCAACAAAGCAAAACCATAAAATCACAATATACGATCTTGAACATAGCTGCAATCTACCTCATCCACCCACTCCCACATTCAAACCATATCTGTTAGTAGAGGAACAAACATTTCATTCAACCTCCCAGGACTTGTTTGAATAGTATTTATAGACTTTCAAAATGCTAAGAAGGAAGGGGCTATTTGAATATCCAGGGGGATGCTGTTCCAAAGGAGAAAGGGCAACAGTACAGAATTAAACTATTTAAAGGCATCTTCCCTAAAATATTAAAGAGAAGCACGTTGTGTACATCAAAAGAGATGTAGTTGATGCTTTGGTTTTATTCAGTGTGAGATACATTTAGCCCCTGGTGTTACATACAAGATGAGAGATTTGTTTCAACACATTATATTTGGAGGGACTGGCTTGACTGGTTTGAGACCAGAAGTAAAGTGTGTGTTGCCTGTTCCTGAGCAACGTAACTTTTCATTAATTATTCTGTAATAAGGATGGATATTATTTTTGTCTTTTTAGTGAAAGGGAGTATCACTGATGAAAAACCCAGATGAATCCTGAAAAGAAACAGCATGAACATTTCTCAGATTTCATCATAATATCCTTTGACTTGGTACACAAAGCCATCTAGTTTAATGTTTAATCAAGACTGAAAATCTCTCTTTCTCTCTCTCTCTCTCTCATTCTCTCTCTCTCTCTGTGTATACATTATGAAACTTAAGGCAAAATTAATTTAAACCAAAATTGGTTTTAAAAGACTGAGATGAATAAATGCTATAAAGATTAAAACTTTGTCAATTCCTTCAAGGGCAAGGAAGTTGTGAATAATTATGGGAATGGGAAATAATATGGGCTGGATACATTTGAAAAGTATGCTGAGCACAGAAGGTATCATTCAGATAACTGTATTACAGATCAGAACAAGAATGGATTTTCTAGAAAATGGCCCAGTTTCCTAAATGTTTTTACTTGGTGGTTTACTGGGCGGGTGGTAGGGGGGAAGCAAAGTGTATAATTTCTGAGCGTGCACAAAGTACTAACTTGGTTCTTTAACAGAACAGAGTATAAATTTTCTGCAACTATAAAATTTCCTTTGGACCATGAATCTATTAGTAATAATTGCCTTGTTTTCCAGATAATTCCTTTTTTTAAAATTTATTTATAATGTGAATAAAGAGCAGTCCATCTCAGGAACAAAAACTTTTCAGAATCAGAAAGATCTTAATTAATAGGTGTGTTCTACATATATTAGGTTAGTGATAAGAATTAAATTTCTGGGTACAGTTGTGAGTCAAATTAAAATGATCACTATAAAAGAATGGGCAGTCTAGCCTTTTTTAAAGTCAACCTTCTACACACACACACAAGACCTTATAGTTTGCTTTTAATAAATAGTATACATATTGGATTTATGTTGACTTCATTGTAATGCCACTTTGGCATTTACTTGGGTCACAATGTAGTCAACAAGATCTCTCATGTCCTGGTTTATAAGCAGTTAGACATATTTGGGCCGTATTTCAATTTAGATTTTGATGCTGAGTCTCATGAATAATTTATTCTTCTTTAAAAATAGGTGGTAAAACATTCAGTTGGAAAGTATGGCAGAATCTGGAATAGTTACTCTAAATCAGTTACTTGGTAATTATTATTTTAAGGAATTTCAATAACTACACATAGAATTATCTTTGCCTAGTAACAACTGTGCCAATATAATCAATTTAAGCATGTTGTAATTGCTCAGTGTGGACCAGATGCCTTAGCCTCTTCAAAGAAGCCTGAAATACTATCATTTTTATGGAGTCTTTTTTTAATTAAATTGGAAATATATTAGAAGTTCAAAAATATATTTGAAGTTGAAATTTCTGATATTTCTGACATGGAATAAAGAGTTGGAATATCAGATAATGGAATATCAATGCATGCAAGTCTTAAACTTGAGATTAAAATTAATTCATGAAAGAGTTTATTCCCAGTGTATTAGCCTCCTCAAGAATGTCTCAAAAGGATGGACTGTAGATTTTCTCTGTTGGCAGTATAACAAATTTGAGAAATATGAGAATATGTAACTCATATGATTTGGTCATGGCCAGTTCTGGTTTCTTTTTGGAATGTGACCATTTTTGAGGAACATTGGTTATATCAGGTGTGAGGAGTAGCCAAGAGAATTATACTGAGAGACTGGGAAAATACTATTACCCAGATATCAAAGACTGAATTCAAGAAATGCATCACATTAGCTTTATTTTTTCTACTAATCAAAATATGACACAATATGTTTCCCTGTGACATAGATTTCATAATATTTTACAAAAATAGACAAGTTTCTATGTGTAATTTGATATATTGTTATTAAATGAATATGTCATCTATTTAGGTGATTTATGTCAAATTAGTATGTTAATTCTTAGGGCAGTTTGTTTATTTTTCTTTTGTCTGTTTTAGTATTATAACTTAATAACTAATTAATTTGTTGGATGTGTGTATATTAATGTCTTCCTCTTAATTTGTTTTTGTATATATTTTTAAATTGCAACAAAATAATTACAATTATTTTTAAAATATTGGCCACAATGATTATTGCTTTTTTATTTTTGTATTTGTCTGAGACTTTATGTAAAAAGCTTTGCAATAACATTGTGCAGTGTATAGTGTAATCTTTGCTGCTTTTCTGTGCTCATTGCTAATTTTAAAAAAGCAGTCATACTTATCCAAAAAGTAAACGCAAGTTATTATGATTGGCCAGTGCAGATTTTTTAAGGTTATTAAACAACGTGTTGACATCCTCCATCTCTGATTGCCACAGTTCCACAGATATACATGAACTAAGTTCCATTTGCCTTCTGCTGCCTGTCATATTACTCTGACTCCAATTAATTTGAAGGAGACATTTTATGCTGCTGAAGCTGAATGGAGCTATGAACAAAGTGCCTGGTGAAACCTAACTGTAGTGGAAGGCAGCAAGGGCAGTAAGTGGGTCCCTCTTAAAAGGATCCATTTTATTTTCTCACAGTGCCCCAGAGCAGAACTAAAGAAAAATAAATGTAGGGAGAAAAGGCTGTGCAGATTTTTTTTTTTTAAAGGGTCCCATTCACAGAGTAAGTAGCAGTGCTGGCATTCATGGGATTATTTAAGATCCCTTCATGCAACCATTTGCTGAAACAAACCCAGCTTGGATCTAGGCAATGCCTGATTTTACAAACTCTCAATTTTATGGACTTTGACGCAGTAAATATTGGATATAATAGACAAAATCTGGATTTCAGGCAATAATGGACTTCATCCCAAACAATGGGATGTTGTCGTGTGGTGAAGCAATCCAAACAATGTTTTGCTATGTTTTATGTTTATTAATGTTTTACTGCACATAGGTAATGTATTCATTGCTTTTAGGAACTATCTCATCCTTTTTCATGAGAGTTATGGTTTGGGATTCTATATGTGTAACATCTATAAATATTTTATAAATACTGTACTTAATGAACCGTGGCTTTTTACCTTTTAAATTAAAAAGAAAGAAAAAGTGTAGATGGCAGTATAATGGAATATCAATGCTCTTACCTGTGTTTGATCAGACTCACTCCAAGTCTTCCTCCAATAGCACTTTAGGTATCTGCTCTTGTGCTTCATTTCCTGAAGCTCTGCAGTAAATCAAGATGTCTCCCAGGATTGGCCCACAGGGATAGGCTGCATAGGGGGTGATATAGTCCAAGGCTCCATCCATCCACCCATTCTTGGAAGTGACTAAAGCTTCAGTTGAATCACCCACCAGATCCTCAGGGAAAACCCAAACTCTCTCTGGAAATCTATTGGGTCTGCCAGTTGCCTGGGGGAGCCCAATCAGATGGACCTATTCCCCCGCAGAGGAGAGTGACATCAGTGAGCTGGAAGGCAATCAGAGAATGATCTGTCCATGGTAATGGACTGATGTTAATGTCCTCCACTATAAAATCACACTGCAACTGCCCAGAGACAAAGATCAGATCTAATGTATGGCCAGTGATATGTGTGAGGCCATCAATGACTTTAGACAAGTCCATGGTTGCTGTGGAGGCTACGAACTACAGAGGTGCCCTGGACTCATTGCTACCAGGTAGCAAATTAAAATCTCTAAGCACCAATAGCTTCAGGGATTCTATCACCAGCCCAGCAAAGGAATTCAGCAGCTCAGGCAGGGACAATGCTGAGCAGCAGGGAGGGCAAGTATATCAGCATAATCCTAGAGCCCAACTTTAACTAGAGCACCTCACATCAGGTTACCTGCGGAGTAGAGCCTCTGAGGGCCTTCAAGACTCACAGATGACAACACACACACCCCTTACTCCTGGGGTCTCAGCTGATGCAGGACCTGAAAGTTAGGTGGGCACATTTTTGAGAGAGATACAGTCCCCTCCGAGCCCAATCAGGTCTAAGTTAAGCACACCAAGTAGGCATCCTCACCCACAATAAGTTTTTGAATAAGGGCAACCTTATTGCACATTGTCTTGGGGTTCAAAAGCAGAAATTGGAGCACAGGATCACTGAGAATCCAATAATCAGGCATTGAGAGTAGAAGCCAAGGAATGGACAGCAAGATCACAGTCAAACAGCAGACGTGGTGTTCCCAGATGCAGTCTATGAATGTTAGGGGAAGGGACACAAAAATAAATAAATAAATATATTTTTTATGAGAGACTGAAGAACTTAGAATTTAGACAAAAAGTCTGAATCAAAAAGGGCAGCCCTAAACCTTACTGACAAATTGAGAAAAAGCACTGAATCCAGGTAGTATCCATCTAAGAGATCCAGCAGCATCCTGGATATTACCAGCTGGTTAATGTTACCACTTGTCTGGTTACATTGATGGAAAACAGTTTGCAAATATACAGAAGGACAAATACTGGTGAAGAAGAATAAACATAACTTTTACAAAAGTAAGTCTACTCTCACTAACCTTTTACAATTCTTTAAGAGAACCAACAAATATGTGGCTATAATGATCGGATATGATAGTTACAACAGATTTGGTCTTTCAGAGGTGCCTTTCCAAGGACCCTTGAGCCAATTTAGCAATTATTGGATGAAAAGAGAGATTAAAGAACAGAAAGCAGAGAGTAATAACACCCTGACAACTCTCATGATAGAAGGATGTATACAGTGAGTTATGAAATTGTTGTATTTTAATTTTTTCGTAAATGTTAAGGATGATGAGTAAGGTAGCAGAGTTTGCTGTTGAGCCAGATCTTGTAGGGTATTGAAAACAAAAATTAGTTCCAAAACAAATGTTCCATTACTCCAGGTTGAAGTTATGCCCACCAATATGGACAGTTTGGATAAATGCATGGATATTGATGGTTGTTACACAGTAGCTGTATATTTGTTTATTTATTTGACTCTCAATCCCAGTATTCCCTTGAATGCTATTTGCTGGGAAATGCAAGTGCAGGAGTGCTTTGGTGCTCATGTTCAGTTTGTCATCTCCCATAGACATTAGAGTGACATTTATGAATGTTGATTTTAGGTGGAACCTTGGTCTGATTCAACAAGAGCTGCTCTTATGTTCAGACTGAGGTTCTGTATCTGTAAAACCATATCCATGAAGGGAAAGACCTACTAAGATATTACAGATTTTTAAAGAAATGTATTGATCTGATATAATTGCCAGCTGAGTGTTACCATCTTCCTAAGAATAACATCATATTTTGTTTTACATAATGTCATTTATCTGAATCAAGGATCAGATCCTGCTAAAACTGTCCAGGACAGAGAATATAAAGACCATTGCAATTCTTGATTTACAAAGATCATCTCCAACTGAGAGCAAATTTTCCTTTATGTTACTTTTGTCACCTAATTAATTTATCCTAGCCACTTCCCAGTGAGTTACTGTGAGGACTGAAAAGCAGCTTGTTTCCCACAGATAGATTTCCCAACTTCTCAGTTCTTAAAATAGCTATGTTCTTTTAGTGTGTTAAATTTCCATGGAGATCCAGCTGTCATGAATGCTTAACGGATTTTAGCTACAGTTCATAACATAGAGAATACAATATTTTAAAAGCATGGTTGCTTCCCTCTACCACTACCCCAGCTGTAATCTCTCGTTGAG